AAAATAATAAAAAAATAAAAATAAAACCCAAACCTACAGTCATGGAGTTGATTCCAAGTCATAGTAACTCTAAGTGACAGAGAACTGCTCCACAGGGTTTCCAAGGCTGTAAATCTTTACAGAAGCAGACTGCATCATCTTTCTCCCATGGAGCCAGCTGGTGGATTCAAACCACCAATCTTTTAGTTAGCAGCCAAATGCCTTAACCACTGCATCGCCAGAGCTCCTTACACTACCATTATAAGGGGAAAAAAATGTATGATTTGCTTCTCATTCATTTCACTAAAAACAGGATGGTGGAGTGTCAGAGGTCCAGAAGCAAGAAGAGTTTGTAGAGAGAGGAAGTTGGTTCAAACTCCTCTGTCATAAGAAGCTCCAACTAAACCAGCCCCAAGATTCACTTCCACCCCAAATACGTAGCAAAGAGTGGTGAGCTGACCAGAAGGGATTACACAGAAATACAGCTGCAGTGGCTAAGCATCTAGACAGAGAACAACTTCTCTAAGAGTTGTTCTCTCCCCCCAGAGTATGCTGACAGGGCTGACACCGGAGCCAGGAGTATCTTTTGAGGTCCACAGTGAGAGGTCAGGCTGCTGCTCTTCAGTGGGCAGTTTCCTACACCCCAAGGGGCTGTGCACACCAGGAGGCGACCACTGACCTGGGTACCCGTCATCGTCAAGGTCCCCCAGGCTGGCAATGCTCTCCCCAAAGTGTGCATTGTAGGCACCATCCCCAATCAGGGCCAGCTGCTCCTCAAGGGCTCCCTGGGAAACAGGATGAAGGAAACACAGAAAACAAAACAAAAACAAAACAGAACAAACCAAAAAAACAATGAAAAAGCAGAGCTCAGAATGCTGCCCTCTGTAACGCACACCCATGGACAGGAAACACCTGGGCAGAATCACAGGACCCAACATCTCTCTCTCGGTGCAAAATGAGCCCCTTTTACCTGTGCAGCATGGGGTCTCCAAGAGCCTGGGATGTGCTTTAGTGGGAAGGAGCATGTCATGTTGATCAATGACTAAACCTCTCCCTTGTCATAATACTCTATAAACAAACCAACCAATCAACAGGGTCCTCGCAGCTTTCCTAATGGAAAATGGTGTAGCATTTTCCCCCTAAAGTTATTTTAAACGGATGTACATTTTTCTATGTTGGTGAGTTTTTTGGGGTTTTTTTTCCCCTCAAGCCTTTCAGTATAAGTTTATAAAGATGTTTTGCAGGGTCACTGTAAGTTGGACTTGACTCAAGGGCAATGGGTTTTATTTATTAGTAATCTTGAGAGATGGAGCCACAGTTCAGAAAAATCCAAAACGCCCAATTGTTCTTGCCTGGGGGTGGGGTCAGTGTACATAACTGTGCCTACTATCACATGTACTTCAGGTTTGAGTTTCCTGAGCAAACAGCAACTGACACAGAGAGACAGCTCCTGGTGTATGGTGGCAGTAAAGCCATCATAGCACATCCACTCTACCCCCAAGTCATTCACGTGTGACTTTCAGAGCATCCAAAAGCAATCTGATGCTTGGAGTCTAGGAGTATTTTAGCCTGCCCAGTACAGAAGTACTCCAGACCCACCATTCACCCACAAGCCATCCCAGGGAAAAGTCGAGCTTTTGTCATGACCAAATCTTCTTTTTCATTAAAATACAAACAACTTGCAATCTGGAAACAATAAAGATGGAATGGTTTCTTGGGTCAGTAAAACTCTACGGCACAAAATATGTGTTGATTTTCTCCTATTAGTATGTTGGGGGAGGAAAGTAACTACAAGTAGCTGATGACTTGTATGTACCAAGCACTGTATATCCCTCTCCTCATTTAAATCACACACTGAGGAAGACCTTATTACTCTCCCCATTTTACAGATGAGAAAATTGAGCCACTGACGTCAAGCTACTTGTCTACGTCACACAGGCCAAGAAGTGGCAGAACCAAGATTCATCAGGCCATCTAGCCCCAGATTCTATCCACTCTTCCATGCTGCTATGCAATCATTAATTAAACAGCATGAGGTGCCACAGAATTTAGAATACCCTAGTACTTATGGCTCTCTCTCACTGCTGTCAAGTCGGGTCCAACTCATAGAGACCCCTCCTTGGGTTTCTGAGGCGGTATTACTACTGAAGTAGATTGCCCCATCTTCCTTCCAAGGAGGGGCTTGTGGGTTTGAACCGCCAGTCTTCTGGTTAGCAGTCAAATGCCTTAGGCACTGTACCACCAGAGTTCCTGGGTTGGTTTTTTTTTTTTTTTGGTACTTAAGGCAACCATACAGAATTAAGAAATTGAGGGGTGGGAGGGAGGTGTGTGGGAACCACATGCCCAGAGTAGGTCTAGGGGGATTATCATTTCCCAAAATGGTACCCCTCATTTACACTCTCAGTTGGGCTTGTTATCTTGCACCCTCAAATAAGTTAAGATCCACACAAACGTGTCCATCTCCTGCAAATATAATAGCTGGCAGAAGGTCTTTGGACATGCCAGCAGTGCCAAATTCCTGTTCTCTTCTACATAATGACCCCCTCATTTCTCTCCATGTCCCTTCCTGTCCTCTGCCTGGAACACCAATGGGGGTACAGATGCTGCAGCAGGTGCCAAGAAGCATTTCCCTCCTGGGTTTTAAATCCAGCTTCCCAAAGGGTTTGCAAGAATCAAAGAAAGCACAGGGCTCTAACATTCACTGGCCCTTCTTTAAATTACTTCCCTTTCTTTTTTGGCACTTATCCACCTTATTATAATTAAACATCATCCCTTTCCATCTTCCCAACTGGGATAACTGCTTAAAAATACACTTTTGTGGATTTTTTTTTTCCTGATTATGCAAGTATTACATTTTCACAGTTTAGATAAAGATAAAACTAAAAATCTACTCAAGTCCCACCACACAGAGAGATCTGTAATTAACATTCTCTATGTATATTATGTATTTTTAAAGGGTGTCTTAATATGCAGTTTTTATCCTGCTTTTTCACTATCTCATTTTCTCATGTTCACTCAAAGTCTCACGGGGCCAGGACCTATGCAGCTAACCATTTCCCTCTACTTGAACACTCTTACTTCCAGACTCGGAAAAAAGATTCTGCTTTCTCACTGTGCTCCCTGCTTTGCCTTGCCTCGACCATCCTCCTTCAATGAAGGGATGCAGAGGCACCTTTCTGACCCCCTCACATCCTGCTTAAAGAGCTGCCTCTAATGGTTCTGAGTATGCAGAATAAGGGGTATCATGATAAAACCCTCACCACGTCATCACTCCCCACCCAGACCCTTGCCCTCTGTGCTGAACAAAGCAGAACTGCCGTGCATATCCCAGCACTACTGGGAGGGCTCAAACCCAGACATGTATGGGACCCAGGCAGGTGATGCAGGAAATATGAAACAATTAAACAGGACAAATGTGCTTATAGGTGCTTATAAGTCACCTTTCCCCTGCCTGCCTAACTCCTACTTCTTCTTCAAGATTGCTCCCTGTCATTGTGTCCTCTGAGAAGTCTTCTCTGGTTCCCTCCCTGGGCAGAGGGACACTCCCAGAGAGGCAACATAACCTATGGCCTGAGAGCGTCAGCTCCGAAACCAACTTGCCTGGGTTCAAATTCCAGTCCCACCACCTAATAACTGTGAGATTTGGCTCAGGTCACTTAACCTCTCTGGGCCTCAGTTTTTTTCACCTGAAAAATGGGGACTCCCTCATACCATGTACATATTATATTGAAATCACTCACAGAAAGCAAGAGGATCAGTCCCTGGTACATAGTAAGCACTCACACAGCAGTCATTAAGATTTTCCCTAATGCCTGTAGGAACATAGCTATAATACTGTTTATAATTTTTCATTAATGGAACTTTGACCTCTTGAAGATGGGAATCATGTCTTTTCACTTCCTCTGGGTAATGGCCCCATGCATGGCCCAGGGAGTTGCTACTTGTTGAACAAATGCCCTTCCCCATAATCCCTGCCCAGAGCTGTACTCACGTTTCCTCTGTTGATGTAGGTGGTGACCTGCCCCTCATCCCTGATCTCAGAAAACATGGGGGCCCCCACCAGCAGGTCAGAAAGGCCGTCGGCATTCAGGTCAACTGCACATAAGGAGGAGCCGAAGTAAGAGCCCATCTGCAACCAAGCCGAGTTGCAACAAAACGTTCAGTGTCTGCCCTCTCACAAGGAGGCCCCCACTTTCTTCCGGCCCACTGGCATTAGAAACATTTGCTCCCAAGCCCCTAGGAGACCATGACAGCTACATTGTCCCATAAGCCAGGATGCCAGACCAATGGTAAAATACCCAACTTCTCTGGGCCGTCTGGCAGTAGTGCAGGACCTCTGACCAATGCAAGACCAATGCTCACTAGCTCAGAGGCCCCTTCCCTGGAGCCCAACCAAGGAGAAGACAAATAGTCTGAGCCCCCAAGAATGAGGTGCTGTTTCAAAAAATGCAAGTTTAAGTTGCAAATATAGGTTAAAACCATAATAAAAGTGCCTCATATATCAAACATTTGACAAGGCCAAGCATGTTGGAATATGAAATTTCATAACATAAGCCAGGTATGAAAATAAATGTGACAATGAGAAACAGGTTACCCTCTCACAGTCCTGTAAATGCCTAATGATTAGTTTAAAGAACATAAGCTGGAATGACAAAAAAGGGTACTATTTATAAGAGTGTTTCATTGCTGAGGGAACAGAGCAGGTATATACCAGAGCCTCAAACCTGTTTGAAACAGTTCAGTTATGGCCAAGAAAGCATAAGCATTGCATAGCAACCAAATCTCTTAAGCTTGGGATTTTGACCCAAGCAGGAAATAGGCAGCAGTGCTCTACTCAAAGATGGCGGCTGACATACATTCAAAGCAGCAGTCAGCCGCCATCTTTGAGCAGGGCACCATTGCCTGTTTCCGCCAAAGGAAAAACCAAACTCACTGCCATTGAGTCAATTCCAACTCATAGCAACCCCCACTGGGTTTCTGAGGAGGTAAATCTCTATGGAAGTAGATTGCCCTATCTTCCTTCCTCAGAGTGTCTGTTGGGTTTGAATCACCAACCTTCTGGTTAGCAGTCAAATGCCTTAGGCACTGCACTTCCAGAGCTCCTTACTTGGGTCAAAATCCCACATGCAAGAGATTTGGTTGCTATGCAATGCGTACCCTCCATTGGTCATGACTGAACTGGTTGGAACTGGTTCATTATGTGATGATTAAAGAAGAGCCCTGGTTTATACTGGGTCTTCTTTAATCATCACATAATCTAGTATCTATTATTTTAAATCAGGGGTCTCAAACATAAATACCTATGGGATTCAGGCAGATGATATAACAGAATTAAAAAAAAAAATAACAATGTAAATGTGCTGAAGGGTGTCAAGTGACACTTGGTTTCAGTGTCTAAAGAACAATAGAGAGTGGTGGAAACTGAGGCAAACAGGAGCTCACAGGCCCAGCTAAAGGAGCAGCTCTCTCCTAGCTGCAGCCACTGCCACTGTGAGGAAACCTGTTGCACAGTGGGCTCACCTTCCCAAGTTTCAGAGAAGCCAAAAAGCCATCATTTTATTTGAATTACCTATTTTAAAAAATGCTAGCAACTTATTCATATTTTAAAATAATAATAAATATATTATAGAGGCCAAACAAAAAAAAAAATGTAAGCTATATCCCTTCCAGAAGCTGTCAGCTTGCAATTTCTGTTTAAAAATAAGTAAATTAAAAAAAAACTATCCTTTTGAAATAAACGTTTTCAAATAAAAGGGATCTGGTTTGATTCACACAAACAAGCATTTTCTTTTACTGCTGGACCTTGCTGGCAGCTGACCCAGGGGAGTCTGAGAGAAGCAGAGGACACTCCAGTTTGTTTCCTGCAGCTCACCCCGGGCTAGGAGGACTTTGAAGTGGCTACTCAGAAATTCTTATCCAGTCACGTGCTAAGGCCACCTCCACTCAAACCACCCTCTCCTATCATCACCACCCATGCCCAAGGCAGAAGGATACAGGGAAGGTTTAGAATGAATTGCTACAGTGAGGGAAGGACAGAAACCAAGTTGCTAGTCAGTAATCCAGTGGCTTTACCAATCTCTCCACTGGTGCTTTAGTAAAGGAAATGAGTAAGACAGAGGCAAGGCCCTGAAGAGCAAAGCCACAGGCACACTCTCTGGCTGAGCCCCAAGGGAACTATTTGTTTCGTTCCAATGGGCTATTTAACTTGGCATCTTTTTCAGTGTTATATCAGAAATTCCTGCACATGAAGTTTCCTATCTAAGTTTTTATAAGCAAGCACTTCACATACTCAGTTCAATAAAACTTCAACATGGTAATGACATGCTTTGGGGTGCGTGTTCCTGGATCAGAGCTCTCCTACCAACCTAGATGTGTGGGAACATGTATCTGTATTAACATCCAAATGCATACATATTGGTAATTTCTCATGTGTACTCTATGATACAAATCAACCAATAAAGCCCAGAACTGGTTTCTTTTTTTTTTTTTTCTTTTTTTCTGAAGGTACAGCCACAACTCTCTGATCAAATTCTAGCCAAAAAGCAGAAGCGGAACAGTGATTTGCTGAGTTAGAACCTGCCTCTATATATGTGGCCCCAGACATAGGGGTAAAGCTAAAGACATCCTTTGAAAGGCTGGGGTCATGGCTTTCCCTTAGGAGACAATGGAGAAGTCAGAGAAGAGTGACTGATTTCAAAAGTTTCAAAATAATTTCTCATTTCTTCTGTCAAAAGCAGAATCAGATATACAAAGAGAGAGAGTGGCCTATTTCAAAACCCAAAAGATAATGACGAGGGTACAGTGAGTTAGAGATGCTAGTAGCAGAAAGTGAGGGCAAGAGGGCCAGGAGTGAGAGGTAGAATGGGGGGGAAACCATGGAACTGTGCAAAGGTGAGGGCAAGAAGCATTCTAAAGAAAATCAAAAGTTAGCACTGCTATACAGCTGGGAGGTGAGATCACTGGGTCCTTCTGTCCCTTCCTCAGGGAACTACAGACACATCTTGACAAAATAAGGGTATTCAAGCAGGCATTCAAGCTAGTCTGTCCTGGAACTCAGTGGCATAAAGTCCTCAGGAAGTATGGACAAGTTGGTTCTCAAATGTCTTACCTGATCCCCCTCATATCACCCCCAGAAACATTTGATTGACATCTGGGCATAGATGCATGGCCATGTCAATTACTATTCAAACTGGGAGGTTTTTGAGTAGGAGGGGAGACACAATTAAACAATGATTAACTCTGACAGGACTCCAGGCATAAACTGGGCCTGTCCCAAGAACAGGCAGCAGGGAGTGGAGCCAGGGAATGAGGAAGAAGGTTGGCAGACACAGCCACAAATAAGCATAAAGCCATTCAGTAAATGTTGTTGTTGTTGTTGTTATGTGCCGTCAATTCGGCCCCGACTCATAGTGACCCCTCCTTGGGTTTCCTAGGTGGTATCACTACGGAAGTAGATAGCCCTTCTGAGGAGTGGCTGGTGGATTTGAACCGCCAGCCTTCTGGTTAGCAGTCAAGTGCCTTAGGCACTATGCTACCAGAGCTCCTGTTTAGTAAATAGGTGATAGATTTGTTTGAGCTCCACAATTCACATTGGCAAGAATAATTTTATGCTTTCAAGCCCAGGTACATTTGAAGTGGGAGAGAGGGAAAGACACACTCACCCACTTAAGATTTTTTGGAGAAAGACCTAAAATGTCAATAGCACTCACACCCTACTTGCTCTTTGGAACTTTTTGTTTTTAAATCACAAATGGCATGGAGCTATTTCTTTTCTAACTTTAGGTGTGCTTGGAAAACATTTTCTACAGAATCACCCACAGTCATTTCCCAGTGTTACTTGCTTTGAGGCCTTGGAAACGTTAAAACAACACAGGCCAGGACAGTTCTCAGGGGAACACAGACCCATTTCAGGAAAAACTTCACAAAACTAAGCTTGGTGATGTATTTTCTTAAATTGAAAACATAATGATAATTATACTTCAAGTGTATATATCATGATTGTGAAAACGTTTGTGAGTTAGATTTTCAGAACTCAGAGTACTGCTCACCATAAATGTGTAATGATCCCTGCCTGGGGCTCAGCAGGTCTAACTCATGACAGGAATTGAACTGGGACAAGAGTCATGTGGCCCAGGAAGGAAATGATCGTCTTTACCCCTTCCTCAGACTAGTGGCAGATAAAATCATCTTCCAGCATTTGTCTTGTCTCCAGAAGTTTCCCTCCCCAAGTCCCAGGTATTCTACGTGTCTTCTCAGAGTCCACTCAGGCTCATCAAGACCACCCTCTAAAACTGTGCCAGCTCCCAAATCACCTCCCTCATCTCCCAGTCTAGACTTGTACCCCCTCAGAGAAGCCAATCTCAGCTAAGCAAGCATATTAATCTAAGGCACACTAAGGTTTATGGGCCTGAGAGTCCAAGAAAAACGTTGCTTATTCATCAAAGAATCTCTAATTGACTTAATTTTAGGCAGCAAATATGGGGCAGTGTAAGGTAAACTTGCAGGAAATGGAGAGAATTTTGGAGAGGATGGGGATGATACAGGTAGACAGATAAGCCTTGCTCAGGACTCACTTTCAGGGCAGCCTCCCTGATAAATTTCTATCCCAAAGTTCTAAGAAGAAATGGGTCATTGTTTGGTTCCTTTTTGACTGACAACCTTCCCTGTGACAATAGTAGTGGAGGGCCCAGGATAGGAGAAAGGGGTGTCATTGGGCTGGTGAGATAAGGACAGTGAGAACCATTTGTCTGCATGCCTGCTTTGAAAGTCATCGCTTACGAGGAAAAGGTTTGCTACATGAATCTACATGATCTCTCTGGAGGTATGGATACGTATGTATGAGAGACAGACAGACACAGAGAGAGAAAGGCAGGGAGGTGGACAAAGGCAGAAAGAGAGGACAGACAGGGCATGCAGTAATTTTGACAACATCCTGAACTATGGACAACCTTTTGACACTATGTGCTATAACTTGGCCATGTACAAACTCATCTGGCTACATGATATTTCCTAAAACAAGGATAAATAAATCCCATGAATCTGCAGATTATACTCATTGCTGAGAAGATAAAGCCATCAAGGGTAGACAGAACCCCCATATAAACATAGGCCATAGGTAAGACACTTAAACTAATTTTCTAAAAATTAAACACTGACTTTTACTTGATCACCTCTGTCAAACAGAAAATAATCATTTATACCAAGGATCTCACCTTTTTACCTGATGCCTGAAAAATCTTAATTAAGGTGCCTGATCTTCGGTCAGCTCTAAAAATGTAAACCTATGGGATAGGGGGGAAAAAATCTAGTTAGGAAAGAAACAATGACCAAAGATATTTATCAGTATCATCATGGAAATCCTATTTATACACCAGACTGGGCATGTGGCAGATAGACTTACGTGGGCTGATGTTAATGAGGATGTTAGTGTAACTCTCACTGTACCAACCCTGCAAAAGCAGTGTCTTTCAATCCTGAGATGGGAATCACCTCCACTGCCCTGAGCCACATTGCTTTCAGAAGCCATGTACCATAAGACCTAAGAAGTTTCCAAATTGCCAGTGAGCAATTCAACCTCTAGAAAAAGTAAATATTTCTTTCTTGAAATATTTCCATCTGCATTTCTATTAGTTAGGACTTTCACAGGTATCAAAAGGTAAGTTTTTTGGACAACGCAGTTGGCCAAAGTGATTCCCCAGAACATCAGAGTCATGGGATCTATGTGGGTAAATTGGAGTTCGGTCTGGAAAATGCTAAGCATAGTGCCTAAGGTATTTGACTGCTAACCAGAAGGCTGGAGGTTCAAACCCACCAGCAAGTCCTCAAAAGGAAGACGGGGCAATCTACTTCCATAGAGATACCACCTCAGAAACCCAAGGAGGGGTCACTACAAGTTGGAATCAACTCAATGGCAGTGAGTTGTTGTTTTGTTTAAGCAACATTAAATAAATGTCTTTACTGTGACACTTCTCAGAACCTTTGATATGCTCATTTACTCCCCAGTTCTCTATTTATGTACAACTTCCTAAATTTGTTTGACTATGGAGGTTCTTTTTCACATTGCATCTTATGGGAACCGGGGTAAGGAACTTTCCCATGGGGTAAGGTAGCTCCCAGCTTAGTGAGGATGTTTTCATGCCCTATTACCAGAAATTAATACATCAAAATTCTCATGGCCAGGGTCCATCCTGGGGTCCTTGGGAATCAAATGTATACCAGTCATAGTTCCAAGGAATGTGGCATAGTCAACAATTTTGTCAACTACAACTAATTTTCCCAGCTCCTCTCATTGTTCCTTTCTATTAACTGGATACAGATCACTCTGTCTAGCTCTGTCCGTTATAGGCATAATTCTTATCTGAAGATTTGACAAGAATTAGCTGGTCATTACAACATCTGAAGAGGAAATAATAAAATTAGATCAAGTTTTCTGCGATTAGTGAGAAAACAAAGCTGATATTGTCAGCACTGATGCATCCACATCACTGTGAACTGGGATGTAAGCATTTTTACCAAAACTAGAGATGCCTTGTAAGTTCCTCCTCGAGATGACACCATTAGTGAGGGGAAAGCCCTCACTGCTTTTTCTCTCCACCTTGGACTGGGAAAGATCCACTTCTTTCCTGAAGTTATGAGAGTTCATCTGCACACCTCCCCACTGCTCAGTGCCCTGGGTCATCTGGTTTTGTTTTCAGAGTCTTTCTTCAGAACATGACCATTAGAGAAGAAGGAGACATGTGCTCCAGAAACATGAACCACCACCACCACCACAAGTTGCTAATAAGTAAGCCCTAACTCATGACGACCCCAACTCATGGTGGCCCCAATTCAGAGCAACTCCCTGTGTGTCAGAATAGAACTGTACTCTGTAGGATTTTCAATGGAAGTAGATCACCAGACATTTCATCCAAGACACCTATGGGTAGATTCAAACCTCCAATCTTATGGTTAGCAGACAAGCACATTAACCATTTGCTCTACCCCAGGATTCTAGAAATGTGAATGCTGATTCTAACTCCTGTGTAGGAAGGTCCAGGGAACTAAGTCTCATGAATGCATGACAGTCAAGCCTAGTCAGTTGGATGGTTCCTTAGTTCCCTCATCATACTGACATCCTGGCTAAAAATGCCAATTACAAGTGATCTCAGACCATCTGGCCCTCTTCAGAATCCAGACGCTACTTCTCTGAGCCCTAGGGGATATGGCCAGACTCTGTCATGACCACCTTTAAGGGCTCAGATTCAAAGATCACTCCTCTGTTCAGTCTTTCCCATCAGACAACCTACAGAGTTTGTTAAAAATACAAATTCCTCCCCCCGACTGGACCTACCCAATCTGGATTTCCTGTGCCCTGAAGCTAAAGAACCAACAAGCATAGCTGCTCATACTGTAGGTCCCTTAGAGGTCACAATTTCAGAAGGGACTCAGCTAGCTCAGCTCCGTGGAGTCTTTTTTGTACTCTGGGGAGGATACTTTAGGGAAGCCAGACCCACATATTCTCAGGCTAGCCTTTGGGCTAAACTGGCCTTGGGAACCTGATGTTTCTTCTAAACCACTGGGAAAATAAATATGAGAATCTAGGCTTGACAGAAAGCCCCAAAGACCTAGGATTAGACCTGACTCTATTAAGTCAAAGTCAAATCTGGGAAGGGATTGAGGGGAGGGGAATTTGAAATTGGAAGCCTGGATATCATTCCTATGGTCGGTGCCATAATGTCAGAGATCAGTCTTAAAAATCTCACACACACACACACACACACACACACACACACACAGAGTCAGCTATAGAAAGCTTGAGATAAGAATGTGCAAAGAATGTTGAGGTCTGAAAGAAGTACTTATACTCTAATTAGGCTACCAAAGTAAACTCTTAAAAGTGGTGGAAGGGGACAGGGAGTTCCTCATTACCTCAGCACTTACCTGTCAGTCACCCACAGGAATGCTCATATCAAAGCAAGTTCTGCAATAGGGACAGCACATTCTACCCTTCTGTCTGACCCATACTACTCCACAGACTTTTCTCCTCACCTTTCCAATGCCCTCGTCCTGTGGAGCGCCTCCTACTACATCAGTGGTGGACGGGTGAGAGAAGTGACCGGCAGTCACCGCATAGCCTGAACAGGATGGGTGGGAACCGAGCAGAGAGTTAAGAGAGAAGGGCAGAGAAGAAAAATATCCATCAGAGGAAAACATTTCTCAAGCATGCCGCTCAACTGGACAGTTATGTTCCAGTTATTCCCAGAACATAAACTATCAGGGTACAAATGGCAGCTATCAGTCTTCTCATGTTGAAATCGCCCATCTCACAAAAAGGAATGTTCACAAAGACATCAGGGCAGGAAAGAGCACTTTCTGAGTGTCTTTTTTCGGCTAAGTATGCTGATAAATACTCTATATCTGTTATCTTTTTAAGATATAACTTTCATACAGTAAAATACACATGTGATGTATAGAGCTTCATGAACATGTACACATGCACATATCCTTCAACCACCCCTTGATGAAGAAAGTAAATATAAACATATAATCATAACTCCAAAAGGCACCCTCATGCCCTTTCCCACCATAGGTAACTGTTACTCTGATTTCTATCATTATATGTTAGGTTTGTCTGTTCTAGATCACTCAATATAACATTCGTAATCCATATTGTTGAATAGTTGAGCAGTAACTCATTTTTTTAAAAATTACTGAGTACTGTTCCATTGCATGGATATAGCATAATATCTTTATTTATTCCCTGTTGCTGGACATTTGGCTTATTTCCAGTTTGGAGTTATTATGCATAAAACTACTGTAAACATTCCTGTAAGTCTTTGAATGTCCTATTCTCTTCTAATCTCACAGCTCTGTGAAGAAGGTATTATTATTATTTCCTTTTTACTTCCATTTTCCATTATAACTTCCATGTAGAAACTGGGACTAAAAGTGGTTAAGCAACATGCCCATGAAAGTGAATCTGGGTGCTTCCCAAGATACTGCTGTTAACCATTATGCTACAGTCGCTCCTGTGAGAGAGAAGACAGAAGCTAACAATGGATGGATGGATGGATAGATGGATGGATGGATGGGTGGGTGGATGGATGGGTGGATGGATGGGTGGATGGATGGGTGGATGGATGGATGGATGGGTGGATGGATGGATGGATGGATGGATGGGTGGGTGGATGGGCAAGTGCATTGGATAGGTGGATGGAAGGTCAGTCAAAGAATCTAGATGCAAGAAGAATCTAGAAACAAAGGACAAAATTGGATGAATTAGGTGGAATGTTTCCTGCTTTCTGAAAGTCTTGCAGGCAGACTGAAAGTTCTCTTCTGTCCAGAGGAAACCTTGTCAAAAAACAGTTGCTGTGGAGTCAATTCTGACTCATGGTGACCCCATGTGGGTCACAGAACTGTGCTCCATAGGGTGTTCAGTGGCTGTTTTTATTTATTTGTTTATTTTCAGAATTAGATCACCAGGCCTTTCTTTTATGGAGTTGCTGGTTGGACTCAAAGAACCGATCTTTTCATTAGCAGCAAACATGGTAACTATTTGTACCATCCAGAAGCCTCTAGAAATCCTGTCATATATTATATATGTATATATATGTGTGTGTGTGTGTGTGTGTGTATAATATATATATATAGGGCTGTTATATATTCCTCAAACTTTGTCATCACCCTAATACCATAACTATAAGCAGTTTGGGTTTTGTGGTAACACCACATTGTGATCAATTCTCATTCATCAAGTAGCTGATTTCTTTCAGACTAAAGCTCATATTGCCTAAGAATGAGTGATAGCAAGGGCTCTATGGTCCTTGCTAATCCTTGCAGCAGATAAGGGCTTCCATTTGTACACAGGGAGAAACCACAGGCCCTATGGAGAAACCAAAGGACCTATTCTAGACCTTAAAACCATTGTCCACACTCAGCTCTCTTCTGCTTTTCCTTCATTTAATAATAATTTGCTGAGTCCCTACTATGTGCCAGGTACTATACCACCTCCGAGAACGTGAGACAAACACTCTACCTTCAGCCTACTGAGGGGTACAACACCAGTGACTGGTGCTGTCTCAGCAACACACACAGGGGAGGCTGCTGGGTTTAGACTCTGGGCTCAGAAACCATGACTTTAAATCCCAACTTTGCAAGCCATGTGACCTTGACAAGTTATATAACTTCTTTGAACCTCAGTTTATAAAATTGAGATGATGGTGATGATAATGATGACTACCTCATTAAGTGGTTTCAAGAACTAAAAGAAACAATACAGAGAGCCGGACATAGATTAAGCTCTCCATAAAGGAGCTAGAGAAGCACAGCAGCAGACATCCCAAGTCTCAGAGTAAAAACATTATTGGGTCTGTGCCACTAAGTAGTCAAAGGGGGAAAATGCAAGTCAGAAATTCCCAGTGACTCTCTATAGCATTCCCCTGATATGAAAGCAAATATTTCCCTTGTATTATTAAAGGAAATTATATTTTTAAGTGATAGAGTATAACTTTGTTATATTATAAATCATGTATAAGGAGTGTGAAGGTGTACTGTTTTCTTATCATTTTGCTGTTGTGGTTGTGGTGAGCTGCGGTCAAGTCACCCCCCAATTCATGGTGACCCCATGCACAAGATAGACAGATGGAAGTATACTGCCAGGCCTTTCTCAGTCCTCCTTAGTCTGGAAGCTTCACTGAAACCGGTTCAGCATCATAGCAACAAACAGCCTCCCCTGACAGAGGGATGGTGGCTGTGCACGAGGTGTACTGACCAGGAATTGAACCCAGGTCTCCTTCATGGAAAGTGAGAATTCTACCACAGAACATCAGTTCCTCCTTTCTCATCATTGTTGTTGTTGTTGTTGTTGTGTGCCATCGAGTCGGCCCCGACTCATAGCGACCCCTCCTTGGGTTTCCTAGGCAGTATCACTACGGAAGTAGATTGCCCCATCTTCCTTCCAAGGAGTGGCTGGTGGGTTTGAACCGCCAGCCTTCTGGTTAGCAGTCAAGTGCCTGAGCCACTATGCTACCAGAGCTCCTTCTCATCATTAGGCCTTGCTAAATTCAGCTTCATTTTCAGTTCTGAATTACAGCATTTAGGACACGCATTAAAGAAAAGAGTCTTGTAATTGTCATCTGCACAAAAAAAGACAGCCTCTCTCTACTCTTAGACAGAACATTACCTTGTGCTGCCATCATCTTCACCTGGTGGTTGCTAACTTAAATTGTGTCTATCTTCTTTTTAGAAGATTAAAAGGGTTGACAAAATAAGAAACTTTTCTTAGTCTTTAATTAAACTTCAGCTTAGGTTGCCATTTGCCATCTGTCATCTCAACAATTTCTGGTTTCTATTATTTCTATTTGCAATCAGTTATGCAACCAGGAAGAAGTAACTCCATCCAGAGTAAAGGTATACTCACAGAAAATCAAGATTTAATTGCATTCATTTTGCATCTGAACCTGAGTATTACCTAAATATAAGAAAAAAAAAAAATTGCTTCCCTGGAAGGTCAACTGTTGGCTTTTTAATTAATCATGCAATTCTGATTCAACACCCTTAGTTTTTTCCCTTTCTAACTTCTGTATAAGGAGCTAGAAGTTAAGATGCCATGGTTAAATGTGTAACTGATTAGAACAATAGATGACAAAGCCAACAAACTCTTCCTTCCACCAAAACAGTAAACAGTAATTCATAAGCTTGGTAGTAATCCTTCCCATTTCTCACCCTTCTTATCTGTCGTCTCCCCAAAGTACTCACCCAGGTAAGTGTACCGCCGGTTCATTATCACTTCATCATTCAGTTTGAAATAGGTATTGTCAGTAAGGTTGAGCACTTTGACCGTGCCAGCCCAATAAAATGATCCTGGGGCACCCATCACCACCAGCTCCTACCAAAGAGAAATCCAAGTTACAGGGAAGAAAGCTGAAGAGGGGAATGGGGGATTCAGTGAAAACCAAGGTCACAGCATAGCAGAACTGAGAATTCAATTAAAAATACTTCATCAAGAACTTTTTTCAGCTCAGCTACACACACACACACACACACACACATCACACACATATATATATGACCAGATTTGTACAGATGGGAATCTCAGGTCTAAAGATGTGAAGATACTGAGCAAGGTGATAGGATGAATCACACACCAGGTCCCTGCCCTATACACAGATGAGACTGCACATATTTCTACAAGGATCAAACAAGGAAACAAAAACATCTGATATAATCCTAAATCACAAAATTTCTGGGAACTGTGTTCATGAAAGGAACCCTGGTGATGCAGTGGTTAAAGTGCTCGGCTTCTAAGCCACCAGCCACTCCACAGAAAAGAGATGAAGCCATCTGCTTCTGTAAAGAATTATAGCCTTGGAAACTCTATGGGGCAATTCTACTCCGTCCTATAGGGTTGCTATAAGTCAGAATCAACAAGATGGCAGTGGGTTTGGGTACCCCTCACCTAGCCTGGACTTCAGCCCCACTATTCTGCAGCTCCATTGCCTGAAACAAAGCATGAGGAATAAATAAATAAATAATAAAAACTCTCTGCCATCAAGTCAGATCCAACTCATAGCAACCCCTCCTTGGGTTTCCAAGGCAGTATCACTAGGGAAGTAGATTGCCCAATCTTCCTTCTGAGGAGTGGCTGGTGGGTTGAACTGCCAGCCTTCTGGTTAGCAGTCAAATGTCTTAGGCACTATGCCACCAGAGCTCCTAGCATGAGGAATACAGGATCCAAAACCCTTGCACTTACAATGGAATATTATTGAGCCATAAGAAGGAATGAAGTTCTGGTACCCTGACTCATGACATGGATAAACTGAAAATATTATGCTGAGTGAAATAAGCCAGACACAAAAGGACAAATATTTACAATTCCACTTATATGAAATATCTAGAATAAGCAACTCCACAGAGACAGAAAGTAGATTGGAAGTTCCCAGGGGCTAGGGAGAGGAGGGAATGGGGAGTAACATTTTATTGATACAGAATTTTTCTTTTTTTTGAGATGATGAAAAGTTTTGGAAATAGTGACAGCTTCATAACACTGTAGATGTAACTACCGGACTGTATTTTACACTTAAAAATGGTTAAAATGCTACCCCACTAACTGTTCTAATCAAGGTTACAATAGTTGGACCCTGAGAGAATGAGGAGAAGATATGGAAAAGAATCCAAGATTCCTTTGGAAAATAAATAAAACAGACCTACTAGACTGGTTAAGACTGGAAGACTCCCCAAAATTACTGCACCAAGATATTCTTCAACTTTGAACTGAAACTAACGCCTGAGGTCACCTGATAGCTAAATAACAAATTGGCCCAAAAAATAATGAGTATCACATATAAATACTGTGCTCCTTTAAAAAAACCACCTATATGGGACCATTTTTGGTTTTATGACTGATGTCATTTAAGAAATGCACCAGTGATATCCGTGTTGATATGTTATTGGTGATCTTTTATAAAATTGATGTTGTATTTTAATGGTATATATCAAACTGTATTCAGTGTCATGAAAATCAATATTCTTTGGAAAAAGCAAAAATATAGAGTGCTAAGTTAACTCAAAATTTTTGTTATTCTGCTAAAACAAAATTGTTTGTTTCACATACATATGAAGTAAGAAAATAATGCAATCTCCCTGTAAGACAGACATAAAATTCCTGAGTTTACCACACCAATAAGGTACCTCTCATATAAGCCAAGTTTGTTTGTTTTCAGAGAAGAGGCCTTAAAATGTAGACCAAGTTTAAATTCTCAATGCTAAAGAGAATTTTGCCAGAGGACACTTGTTTTTTCAACAGCAAAACTATATGTGATTGGACTGAAGGGTTCAAATGTAACTTTTCCTTGAAGATGAAACATTTTTTCAAGGACAAAAGTAAACTCTCTCAACCTCCACTCAAGTATAAGCAGCTGGTCCATGCTAACACATTATGGCCCACATTCAGCCCACCACCTGTTTAGTTTTTGATG